GATTCAGATAGTAGTCTTAAATTGATTATGTAGTATGGAAATAGAAAGATGAAAGCTGTCTTGAGAGTGGTGTAGTTCGTAGTATAATGTCTAATTACTCATTGAAAATTCAAATGTCAGAATTCAATCCAAATAACAGAAGTGGTTTTTTTGTTGTTGTTGTTTTGTTGTTTTTTTTTTTTTTCCCCCTGGACTGAGTTTCCCACGCACAAACTGACAGTCAACTAAATTCTCACCTACCTACTGAAGATAACCGTGAAGAGTTTGGTATTAAATATTAAAGCTGGGTTTTTTTGTTCCATACAGATTAATGTTGAACTGAAAAATTATTCTTCTGTTTAAACAGCCATTTAATAAACCACTCAGTAAGAGATCTTTTTTCTATTTTCTTTTGAAAAAATGCATTTTTAAAAATTTATATATGTATGCAAAAGTTAAGCAAACACTGATTCTGATAAATGAAATTCTATTTTCCTTCTTTAATTTTAAAAATATATATTTTTTCTCCTTATCATAGAATCACAGAATGGTTTGGGTTGGAAGGAACCACGAACTCCAACCCCCTGCCACATGCAGGGCTGCCAACCTCCATATCTAATACTAGACCAGGCTGCCCAGGGCCCCATCCAATCTAGCCTTGAACACCTCCAGGGATGGGGCAAGCATACACTTGGTATCATCTTTATGTTTTTTCCTCCCAAATATTTTTACCATGTTTCCCCCCTTCATATACCTGTACAGTGTGCTTTTGTTTGTTCTTTCCATTTTAATTTTCTATTTTGTCATATTCCTGTATTTTCTATTCAGTTGGAAGAAAAACCTAAACTACTTAGTATCTTTTCCATTGTCTTTTTCATTTATAGTTACTTTTCCTCTCAAACTCTTATGGTTATTAGTACATGCATTCTAATTTGCCTTCCCCTTATCCTCAGTCAATAAAAATAACAGTAATACAATTACTACTGAGCTCACCACAAATCTTCCAATAGCAATTATTCTTCAGCTATCTTCGTTGATTTTTGTTGCCTCTTGAGAGTATCCTTGTTCAATTAGCTGATCCAGCAATCTACATATATCTCAAGCCTTGCTTTTCTCCTAAAGACACAAAAACGGTAAAGCAAGCTAACAAACAAAAAGCTTTTGTGCATTCTAGATGTACTGCATTTCTCTTCTTAAATGTATATATGTACTCAGATGTCAGTTAATATTTCACTGGGATACTAGGTGATCTACAGATGTGCTACCTGTTGAATTTTTTCACACATTCATTAAAAAAAAAAAAAAAAGAAGGACCAAATTCAGGTAGACGCTCATTTTACAGGTGATTTTTTAATACAGTTAAGGAAATGCAATAACATTTTGACTACTAGCACTTTTAATACTTGGGTGTTCCATAGTGCCAATGTGATGATAATAAACAAGAAATCTTGTAATTTAAAGGATTTTTGATGGATGTTTTATTCTTTTAAAATAATGTTGAACAATAGCACATCCAGTTTTTGTGGTTATATTTTTTCTTTTGTAAGACACAAATTAGCAGGCTGTTTCTTTCTTATTTCTACTATGAAGTATATAATTATTTCCTTCTTCCACAAGCTATGAGGACAAAGCTTAGTAAAGGTTTCTAAGGAAATGAAGACTGAAGAACTGTTGATCATTTTCTGATATTTCATGGGAATTATAATGTCATTTAGAAACAAAAAAAGTTCTCAATGTTTTTAATGGTTCTAGTATTATGTTTGCTTTGATCATATATTGTTTGCTGTTTTTTTTATTTTTATATAAGTTCTTCCTGAAAGTGAAGTTTTGTAAGTTGTTTCCATTAAGCAGACTAATATAGAGAGCAGTGTATTTGAAATGTAACTGAAATATTACTGTATAGTTTTTGAGGAAGTATAGTTGACTTTATTCCATAATGATTTTTTCATAAGAATTTAAATGCATGAGAAGTCAAATACAATATTAGAATGTTGTAATAGTTCAGTGAAACATTCCATCAAAAAGAAGTTGAATTCTCCCAAAATCTAATCCAGAGGATGTGTTATTGTATTATTTTTTGTATTATTCATTTCTGTCTGAGGTTGAAAGAGATTCCACAAGTGACCCTTGGGATAGCTTAACATTCACTTTATGGATGTTAGTAGTTAAGAAAACCACCTCTTTTTGATGTGAAGAATCAACTTTAAAGCTGATTCTGATCTATTGCAGAAAGACTGATTGCAGTATTGTGTGACTAATAAAAATAATAATACAGTTACATTTCAGCAAAAAACTTAGGACACATGCCCAAAAGTATGTCTGCAGCTAACCAAAAAATGCATTCTGTGTTGATAGCTGAATACATTCTCAAGAGAATTACATAAAAGTTTAAGTGCTACACTAAATCATGGCTATAATGTTTGGCACTGCTACCAACGTATTGCAGACATAGATAAGAATACAACAGTGACAGAGTCTTCATACAAAATCTATAAAATAAGTAAAGGATATTATTCCCATTTCAAAGATGGAAAATTTTAGCAAAAGGAATATGTTCATTGCAAAGAAATCTTTTACTTCAAGTTAGAGAAATTCAGTACCCTTTCTCTAAGTGTAAGAAAGTCAAAAGAAGGTTATGGTTGACTTTTGCATTATGGTTGGTACTTAAGACCTATGCTTACAGGCCAGGTTTTGGTTCCTGTCAGCTAGATGAATCAAGCTAAAAATTTTATTTTCAATAACAGAAAATGACACACAGTTTGGAGTGAAAACACACCTGACAAATGGAGTTGCAGTTTTCACATACCATCCTGCCCTGAGTTTCAGCTAAGAACTTGTAAGAAATTCTGACCTAGCACACAGAATGTAAATTTTTGGCTTGTGCCTGGATATATCCTTATATTTTTCAATATGAGTCATGTAGTTGGTTTAATATATGGTGCTTCTTGAATGGCCTGGTCAAGCTGAAGACTTTATCCATGATTATGTTCTTATGTTTGACATTGTGGATAATTCCAAAATTCTTTTCTAAATGCTGCTTTAAGGATAAAAGATGATGATTCTGATGGCAGCGATGATAATGATGAATGGAAAACATTAGTGAGCTAAATCCTTTATTTCTCAGTGTAGTCAGTAAATTATTTACTCGTTATACAGGTTAATGAACTACATGCATTTGCAAGTCAGCAATCATGATTTTCAGAATGTAAAGGAGAATACCATATTGTTCGGATCTTATGATTTGGACATAGTTGTTTTTTCTATGGATTATTTTGTAATATATTATCATGCTGATAAAAGCAATATTTATTACACTTTGAAGTGATTTATCAGTGATACTGTGGCATATTTTGCTAAAATGTTAAAATACCTGAACATTTTGTTACTAAACCTTCATTGTTACTAAACCTTTACTGATTAGAACAGATGCAACATTTTGATGAGTTACTGGATTTACACAATAGCAAAGTGAGAATTGTAAAGACTATTATATTTATTGTGTTATTTCTTAGAACTTTTTAGAACGTTAACATTGGAGCTCAGTATAGTAGACACAGTCATGCTCAGCATATTGATCTATATTATTATTCCTAAACAATTTGATAGCTAAAAGCTGTTAGTTTCATATAATAAATAGCTAGAAAAATAAATATGTGAAATTATCATGATACAAAACTGTGAATGTACTTCTATACTGTTAATTGTTCCCTATCATTTTTTCTTCTTTTTTTGCTCTAATAGCAATAGTTACATATACACACACCAATAAAAATGCATTTTTGAAATCTTTGGAGTTGTTTTTATTTTTAGTTGTTGGTTTTGCTTTTGTTTACAAAATGTATCCATAGAACAAATGCTGAGGCTTTCATGTGATTTAATGAATACTTTCTTTATTTCCACAGACTTCCAGCAGTGTTCTTTAGAGCAGAATATTCACAAGTGTTATGACATTTCTGTCCTTGTATTTTTGTATTTTTCATAAGTGTATCCTTAAATGAAAATGAGAAAAAAATTCAGAAATAGCTAAATATTCAGATTACCAACCTATCATTTTAGGGTCACTTGTTTCAAGGGTCATATGCTCCTTTTAAACACTTCAGATTTCATTTGGTATACATTTAGGTTGTCATTTTTTGTGAGAAACTACATTCCTAATATTCTAATACCACAATATGGCATTATTCCTTCATAAATTTGCATTTCCCTCAGAAAGAAAGGTTGTGCTCCTACTTAATTTTATGTTTTCTTAAGATTAATCTATCTGAAATATAAAGAAACATATTGTAATACTGTTAGAGAAAACTTCTTTAACTGATGAAGTTGACATTTAATTCCAGCAGAACATAAATCACTGTCATGAGGTAAAACGTATATAAACACTGTAAGACAATTAGTGTGACAGAGACCCTTTTTTAACAATGACAGATGTAAGCATGCAGAAAGCTATTAAATTTCAGATAACTATAGTGATTTACTCAGATGTATTTTAGAGGTTTAACAAACTGAAATTCTAGTATTTCCAAGTTTTGACTGTGCTATATGTAGGTTTATAAACTTCTGGCTGGTCTATTTCAGTACACCTTGGGTTTCTGCTGGCTCAAGTGAAATGCGTATACTGACTTTTTAAATGGTAACTTTATGAAACCTTACAGTGTAGACAGATTCATTGTCTTGGAACACTTGATTTTATGATAATTACTTTTTTTTTTTTTTCTTTGAAATCCACCTTTTCTCATTAGTTGGTGCAGACAGACAGTATATACAGATCTATTAATTTCACTACCTGGGATAGGAGCAAGTTTCAGACAACTTGTACTGTAAATATTAAGCTATTTTGAGGGCTTTTGGCCTGATTTGACTTTTTGATATGATTAAGGGTCTCAAGAGTGTGGTAGTGATAGGAAGGAAAGCATGAAGAAAATGATACTAAGATGACTACTTTTACTTGTGGAAAGATTTAACCTATTCAGATACATCACTGAAAAACAAGATCCTTGATCTTAAATTATTTTCTTTCACAGGTCATTCATATGGGATGGGTACACGAGAGATTTGAAGGAACTGATTCATCTCAGCTCTACAAATTCAAGTTTCTGGCACTGAAGGGTTCATCCTTCTACATTTTCAGTACTCCACCGGTAAAAAAAAATATATAGTATGTTTTCCTACAGTTCCATTGTAAATATAAACCTATTTGTTATTGTCTGAGTTTGCTTTTTGTTACCAAGTGAATGTTAGATGAGATTTCAAAAGAAGTTAAAACTGTAAACTCCACTTAATTTTAATAAGTTTTAGCTACTTAACCTCTTTCAAGGTCTTCTGAAAATGATACCTTGCCTGGATAGCTCAAAGAATTCCCAATAGGAAATGTAATGGTTTTACTTGTTAAAGGTTTTAAGATCAATTAGTTAGTTAGTTGGCTAGTTACAGCCAACATTTTTAATTAAATTTTTCTTAGTTTTCATAGATGTAATGAGTTGCTAGTCACTCTTTTCTTAAAGAGAAGATACATCCATACTAACAGTAGATGGATCTGGATTTTGTATACAGGCAAGGGATTGACCTGTTACTTTTCACGTCTTTTTTTTAATCTTTTCCTTCCAGAGTGCCATTGCTTTAAACAAATCAAGAGAACAATATGTGAACTTAGAATGCAATTTCAATTAAATAGCTTTATTATATTGCTCATAAAGTGGTTCAGTTTCCAGTTTCTTCAGCTGATCCAGTAAAAATCTGATTGTGTACTACTCTGTTATCTAATTTACCTACCTAATTTACGTACTCTCCAACCTTATAAGCTGAAACTATCAGTAACATTTTATCTTGACTGAAGTTCTAAATCCAGGGATTTCTATTAACTTCAATCCTTTTTTTGCTTTTTATGATCAAGTAATAATACTCTTTTTAAAATGCAAAACCTTAGGAAAAGTTGTGGAGTTTTTTTCTTTTTTTCTTTTTTTTTGTCTTAAAGAAAAAAAAAAGCACACATTGCTTGCAGATTGACTCAGCACTGGTCTACTTATGGAGAACTGGAGTGTGATTGGTTTTGTTTTTTTTTTAAAACACCTGTTTTTTCCCTCTTTCCATCCTTTACTGAAGCATCTTAACCTATGAGTTTTCTTGATTTTGCTTTACCTACTCCTTTTCCAGGTGGGGGTTAGTGAGTGATAAGCAGAATGGGTACTAAGCTGGGGTCAATCCATCAAAGTGTGGTGGGATAGGCCCTGGCAGGAGAGACCCTGCCCTGCCAAACCCCATTCCCACCAACCCCAAGAAGCTGCCAGCCAATACTGCACCCAGACACCAGTTCTCTAACACATCCCAGCTTTGTAGCTGGAAACAAAACATGCAGAGAACTTCTTCACTATTTTTAGAGATATTTAATTGTATCTCTCTTATTATTTCTTCTACAGTTTTGCTTTTTTTATTATTATGAATGAAAGATTAAATATGGGATTGTTCTGGCACAAAAATAAAATATTTTAACTTGTCTGATCTTTACAAGATAAGAGTTTCTGATTGTGTTTTATTTCAGAGATGTTGCTCTGATTGTATTGCTGTTTCTGTGCTGAATGAATGTAGTGAATCACTGTAGTGTATGCAAAGTAGACGATGTGCAAATTGTATAGTTATCTTTAGTTGTAATGTCTTTACTCATAATTTTTCAACTGATTATGAAAGGATCTGATATAATTTTTACTCTTTTTCTTCTTGTGTAGAGGATCATGAGTGGAAATACAGCTGCTAACTTTCTTAAAAATGAGAAACATATGGTTATCCTTGCACAAAAATCAAGAGAAGTGTAGACCAAATGTCAATTCTATAATATGAAAAAATCTATGAAATGTAGTATTCTATTTATAACCTGTTTCAACAGGTGGTTCTTCTAAAAGTATGGAAGCATCACAATAAAAATAAATGTCAAGAAAACGTTGCTTATGAGAGAATGTTTTTTATGCACTTCTAAAGTGGATCATCTAACTGTAGTTTAAAAACTTGCAGACTAAGTTTACAGATTGCTATAATTGAAATATGACACACTTCTGAAAACTGCACATATGAAAAATATGATGGCAAAAATAGAAATTATACTTTTGGAAGTGCTAATATACAAGCAGTATTTTAATACATTCTAAAAAAAATCTGATTAATTTCTGCCAATTTTCAGATCTTGAAAATCTGAATTTATACACTGGAAGAAATAGAAGCATCATTCAAAATTGTCACTTAAAATAATTTTTTTATGTGATTAAAAATTTCCACAAAACAGAAATTGTTTCTTCTTATTGAATGTGTGATAAATGTATGGGAAGACAGAACTGATTGATTTTTAATGTCTTACTTGTGGTTCAGTATTCTGTTTAAAATTCAAATCTTAAGATAGCCATTCCTTTGAAATTGTGTTGTCCTTAAGGGCAAAACTTACAAAAATTGCCATGTCTTTTTCACTGTGGTTAAGTAGAACTGAAATTAGACAAGTGGGCAATCTCTGAATTTCCTGCTTATAGTTTTCAGAAAAAGAATAAATGCAACAGTGGCCTGAGAGTAACAGGAGAAAAAAAAGTTATTAAACTAATATACTGTATTTTATTTATTTCATCTTTGAAAAACATTGCAGAGGATCATTCATAATTTAGCAGCATTTTGTATGTGAGAGAGAATTGCCATGTCATTTCCAAATATTTGTGAATGTACGTTATATATAATGCCAATGTGAATTAACAAGAAATAGGTGGCAATGAGTTGTGGGGCATAGACTTCATTATGGATGCTTCTGGTTAACTTTCTAATTCTTATTTTTTTCTTCACTTCCTTGCTAGGATCTGACTGCTATTTGGTGTATGTTTTGTAGCATCTAGTTTTGTTGGTTTAGACATATTTAGGCATCTTATACTGCTGTATCACAGTTCATCTCAAGACCATTTCTTCATGTATAATTTTTTTTTAAAATCTCTTCATAATTTTTAAGAGTTATATTTGACTCATTTTTTTCCATTGTTAAAGAGGGCAGTGAAATAAACTACCATTAAACAAGAAGTATTTTACTCTTTTACCTCTACAATTTTGTTACTTCTGGGTGGATTGGATGCTACTAAAAAATAGCTTTTGAAAAGTACATTTAAAAGTATCTTTTAAATGTAGCCCATTATTTCCATACACATAGTATAATCCTTAGTGCTGATGTATGAATAAACAATCAAATCTTTTGTGATTGGTTTCACTACATAATTTATTTAGGTAATAAGTGTTCCTCCAGTTTGCATTTAATTTTTTTTTTCTATATCCTATTCTAAATTCTTGTTTTTTTTAAGAAAAAATATATTATGCATACATCTAAAATGAAGTATATTTGCTGAGATTACTTGATTTAACTAAATAAAACAAGAAGATTTGAATAGCTTGGTGTAGTTAAATCCACGGTGGTGCTTGTTTAGGAAACATGAGGCGCAACTTGCACTAAAAAGTACTTAATTGAATAATTAGCCTTTTTGTAACTGTTTTTATTGTAAGTATTATTGTTTATTGTGTTTATTTCAGTCTCCCATGGTCTTAAAATTTTAACTTCAGATTCCTGTTTTTGTATCCTAGTTCATGTTTATTATCTCTCTGGCCATCTGAGTGTTCTGATTCTTTCCAGATTTACTAGTTGACTAGAATTATATAATCGTTTGTGATCATGTGCAGCTATTGACAACAGCATTTTAAACTTAAGCATACTACAGTGGTTCTAAAGTGGAAACTATATTAATGTCAGCTGTCTCTTTGGGTTCCAGTATTTCTTTGTTTTTTCCATTCTGTAAGATTCCTCAACATGTCATTTATGTTCTGCTGGTGACCTTGCACACCATGCTATTCAGACTGTTTCACTTGGCTTTAGGTATGATGGTCTTTCTCTGACGTACACAGGAAAAGAAAATCCTGGCTTATACAAGTGCTGGTTGTGATCTATGATTACTAGCTATCTCTGCTGAAAATATCATAAGAGGTTACAGAGAGTCAAAAGATGAAAGAAATCCAAAGGTATTGAGGAGAAAACTAAAGCATTCAGAAAAAAAAAAAAAAAAATTATAGCACAGCAGTGTCACCATTTCCCATCATTAGTAGCACAAAAGAATTACAACAATTCAAACTAATCTACAGGAATAAAACAAATAAACAAAAAAGTAGCAAATGTAAGCCACATCTCACCTGTTCTTGATTATAGAACATGTCACTAAATTATGTTTCATAAGCATCAGATCAAATAGTGAACTAAGCACAATTTTAAGCTGCAAACCTTATTTTGTAAGAAGCATGAAGATCCCCTTTGAGGGTCAACAGTAATAGGCTAAAGCTTGTTCTATTTATCATATAATCATAGAATGGCTTGGATTGGTACAGATCTTGGAGATCACCTAGTTCTCTCACCTCCATGTCATGGGCAAGATTGCCAACCACTAAATCAGGCACTCTTATTTTTGGCCAGAGTTTGCCCAGAGCCCCATCCAATCTGGCCTCTAATAATTTTATTTTACTTAACAATTTTATATTCACATCAACTGTCAAACTAAAAGATATTTTGATGTGGTAATGATCAAGAAAAGATGTACAGTACTTGTGTAAGTGAACATCTTAAAAAGTATTGTGTTTATTTTTGAATTAGCTTTATAATTTCTCAATTCCAATTGACTAAAAAATCCTACATCTTATGAAGTGATGAGATGACGAGTATAATATCTAAAAATGCTTTAAATTAATTTTCTTAGATGATTACCTTTAGATTTAAATCTGGAAAATTTCCTCCAGGAAATTTATTGAGTACTTTGAAAGTTATTGTTAAGTAATTGAGATTTAATTTGTAAGGAGAAATTGCTCATTATATAACAGAATGAGAAAGTACATAGTGTACTTCCACATATTTTACTGCATGCATTGTATTCAAGTGATTCTTCCCACTTGACTACTAAAATATATAAGTTTCACAATGAGGACCCTAATGTATGAGTCCCTTTATATCCTGAAAATAAGTGGTGGCAGAACTTTTTTTTGTAGAGGTCTTCAGTTCCTTTTGCAGTACATGATTCATCTCATCTAAATCCAATCATCTAGAAGTTAAAGATCTACTATGAATTTGTTATAAACTTTCTTTCAGTGACTGAAGATAAAAAGAATTTCCAAGGTTTGTTTATCAATCAATCTTATGGAAGGGAGCTGTGGGGGCTGGAAGAAACCTCTGCTTTTGTTTTCTTCTTTCCCTGTGAATAGAAATTAAATTTCTAAGAATTCGATTTTAAGTTTTTTAAGATTTTATTAACAATCAAGTTAGATATCACTGCTGTCTAAATTTAGGTGAGATAATTGCCATCTTCAGAATTCAAGTAAATTCTGAAACATTGCTTTGAAAAGCATACAAAAGAGGACTAATGGTAATGTTCATTAGTTCAAATTAATGTGAAAAAGGCCTAAGCAAATAAGATTAGACAGAAACTAGCATCAAGTTTACCTTACTCTTTCAAGAGCTCTCAGAGAAATACAGTTTCTCAGAGAAACAACCAGTTGAAGTCACAACAATTGTCTTCGGTGTTGTGATGTGGATTATCATCATTTATTAAAACCCAAGTTTTCTGAACCTTTGAGATTTAGAGTCCATGAAGATGATGATATCCCATTGAAAGTAAAAATATAAATATAAATCACGTTCATGTGACACAACATGATTAATGTATGAATCTTGCTGAAATTCATGCTATTATATATACTGAAATAATCAGGTAAAGAATTTCACCATTCTTTCCTGGCTAACTTCTATCCATAGAATCAAGATGATTTGTAGACACATTTTGTTATGGCTAACACTTTGAGAGAGTTGATCTGCTCTCTTCCTTTGGAAAGTGAGGGAGGGGAAACAAACCAAGCTGCATCTTCCCTGGTATTTTAAGGCATCCGAACTGTTAGAACAGTCACCAAAAAAACTGATTTCCATGTGTTAAAAGCTTCAGAGTTCAGTTTACTCAAATTCTTTATAAATCTATACAGATATTCCTATTACTTTACCTTATTATTTATTACTTCTAAGAGTTAGAATTTTGCTCTAAAACGTAATTAAAACAATATGTATTTCCCTGGTATTCTTCATACATGAGTTCTCTTTTCCTTATGCTATCTAGGCTAGATTCTGTTTTTAATAGAAAATAGATTAGCACAGTATGTCATGACCTAGTCTTAAGGAAAAGTCTTCACCTATCATTCCAGCTGTCAAATTTGAATAGCCTATAATGTGAACAAGATAACAAAACCAAAAGAAAACAAAATCCAGTTATTAGTATTCATTTGTTATGTGTGCAGCTGACAAGCTTTTTAATTTCAAATATTGGAGAGACATAAGCCTTTTCTGTTTCTAATATAAATATTAAGATAATGGTGTCCTACTGTGTGTCAATTCAAACCTGTATTTAGGAACACATCTTGGTCTGTTGATGCTAAAGTTTTATTAAATTGAGATATGGAGCTGAATACGTCTGTGTTTGAGAAGGTTCTGTATGCTAGCACAGTGAAAAATAAATATTATTATGTACCTCACCAAAGAGATTACAAAGAGGTTTCCATCATGTTGTAGTGATAATGGAAAAGAAATCTCTCTAATTATATCATATCTTTTAATTATAGTAAGACTCATGTAGATACTGCTTCTGGAAGAAACTGAATGCTATTTGACAGTATTTTTTAAATGCTAGATATTAAATGTAGTTAACATTTGCTTATATTTAAAGCATCTGATAGAATAATGATTGGTGAAATCTATATATTTTCTTCATCTTTAAATGGTTTTAGAATGAAGAAGAATTTGTTCTTAATATTGTATTTTGATATTATAGGTAAGCACACTAGACTGGGTACGAGCTGAAAAAATGTATAACCTCTGTGAGGTTCTATTTAAAATTCACAAGGTAGGTTTCCAAACAATTACAATTATATTATACAGTAAAGAAAGCTTGCCTCTTCCTGTTGATGTTGAGATCAGTTTAATCTCAGTTAGGGGTAGCTGACATTCAAGTAGCTTATTTGTTGTAATAAAACCTTTTGGCAATGACTGTTGCAGTATAATTGAATCTGGAAAACAGATTAAGGTCCAAATAGGCAAGTTCCTTAAGTTCTCCCAAACTGAAGAGTATTTTTTTGCCATGTGAGAATCAGACGTGAAATGCTGATGAGACAATCAGCTAATCATAATGAAAACAATGTTATTTTCCTAGTAGCTTAGATTTTTAAGTGAATGTATTGAAGAATGTTTTCCACATGAAGATGCTTTTATTTGAGTAATGAGAAGTATACAATTTTGCCATTCTTAGCTCATTCAGAATTTGATAACATCATAATTGTTTTTAACCGTAAAAGGGGCAATGGTGTCCATTTGCATACCAGAAATTTCTTTATTTTTTCCACCATCCAGAGATAATGTCATATTTCTGTTTAGCCTGTAGCAAGGAAGGACTTAGAGCAAATCCTATTGGTCTGTTTAAATAGTTGACTTACAAAAGATATTTTCTAAGTAGTTGCATCAGATAGGTTAGTATAGTTCTCTATTGGCTAATTAAAAAGAGCTTTGCAGGCAAGATAGAGCTAGATGAAAGATACTCCTAGAAAAGTAAAACTGAAAACTTTCTCAAGGAATAAAAAAGAAAATCCTTTCCCATGAGATGCTGTTTCATTGAAAAATTCCAAACAAGCTCTAGTTCTCACCAGCTGCTGTCCTTCCCTCTGATGTTCCTCCTTTGAGCGTGTACTCATGCTGTGGAGAAGGAATGTTGCTGTGTTACTGGTACAGATCCTGGCTTAGCAATGCTACCGAGGGAGAACTGCTTAGTTGAGAGAGTACTTCTTGTGGATGCTTCTCTGTCTGAACACAGTTAACTGGGACAGTGTACAGAATGAATGACAATAACACTCCTCCCTGTACGGCAAAAAGGGTGTTGTTACCTGTTTCATTAAATGACCAAATTGTTTGGAGAATGGAGTGATGGAGTTTCTGTGTCCTGGTTGCTCAAACTGCTTGTCCCAAACTGACTTTCCACAGCAGTGATATATTTCCTACATCAGTTTTGAGGATTGTAATTTAAAAATAAATAAATTGTAAACACAATGAAGTTACAAAGAACAGAGTAAGAAGCACACAGACAAAAACAAACAAACAAAAACCAAACAAACAAACAAACAAAAAAACAGCAAACAATAGCTCTCAGCCTTGCACTGACATCTCCCTTTTAGAGTGGTGTCAACTCCATTAACTGGCTGGTAAAAGAGCCTGGTGTCAAATGCCTGTTTTGCAGCTGTAAGTGAAAATGTGGCAGTTCCAGCCCATCAGTGTATGCTTTTATACTCTAGTAAGCCTTCTTTCACAGTGCAAGAGGGGATGACAGAAGTGAGAGAGGGAAAGGTCTTAGCCAGTGCCTTACCAAGAGCCTGACACTCCTGGAGTTGCAGACCAGAGCTGAACTCCAGAGCACAGGCGCTCAGCCAGGAGCTCAGTACTGCTTTTGTGGATGTACCATTAATGTAGATTAATGTGACCATGACTGATCGTGGGTATGTGTGAACAGATCCTGACCATCACTGAGACAGCAACAAAGAGCAGAGAATCTGACCCTGATTTTTGATTCTGTCTTATTAGATTTTCTTAAAATTTACATTTTCCAGGTAGATAATTTGGGCAACAACGAAACAAATACTCATGCTTTTTGAAAAGGTTTTTCTCCACAGTGGGTTTTGTTTTTGCATTTTTCTCCTTCAAATGTTGCTACTGATTTGAAAGCCACCCCCTTTTAAATATTCTGGTAGTTTCAAAGATAGTTTATCCTTAAATCACATTCTGTGGTACTTTTTCATTAAGAAAAGGAAATGGGAAGTAAACTACCAAAGATTCAACTCTTTAATGTTCTTGACATTTTAATAAATTAATGTTTAATTGCTAGTCTTCATGAATACATTAACTAAAGTGCAAAAGCTCAAATTCAGCACTTTAACCTCTTTTCTGTTGATTCTTTGATACGAATGACAATGAGGCAAAGTGAACTAATCCAAAAAGATGGAAAAAATCTTAAGAGATTAGAGTTCCTACATTATAGACTGAAAGGTGGAGTTTATGTTTTAAAAAATGCAGATTGGGAGAGTGTTTTTAAGGATTTCCAGGAGCTGGTTAGAACTACTGCAAAGCCATGATGGAGAGTGCTTTTCTATTCTTAAGGGAAGGTGCACTTGTTACTCAACTGTAAGCGTCTCACTTATGTTCATTAAGCAATAAGAGTTAAAAATGGAAAATAAGCATCCAATATGGGAAGGGCATCTTATAACTGTTCTGCTGTATTTTAGGATTGTGTGCATATGCATACATATAAATACATATTTAATTCACATAGGTATGCAAATATGTGAATTAAAATTCATATATATGAACATTTAACGGTAACAACCAGGTGACTGAAAATGTGATCCCACTTATGTATTTCCTCCTAAATTTTCTTCATACTCTGTATTTACTGGAACTGTTAATGAAAAACAGTATATAACATTAGATGTATTTTCAAAAGTAGCCTGTATTAAATACATTTGATTTTCTTTTATTGCATAGTATTTCACACGTCACATTTCTAAGTATAAAAATATAAAACAAAAATATTTTAGTCTAACAGCCACGATGAGTACTACTCATTGTGTAGTATTGAAGTAGATGTAGGCTTGTTACCTGTTACTCCATGTGTACTTAACACAAGATGATATGCACTTATTTTATTTGGTTTCCTTTTTACCAGTGCAGAGGAGCATTGGAAAGTAGCTTTGAACTGCTTAAAGACTGTTCTCTCCTATGCTAGCTGTAGGGCCTTTTTTTGACAGCAAAGTCTCATGTACCCTGCTACAATTACGTATTGCCTCTGAGGTATCCCCTCAAATATCCATAATTTAAAAGATAGGCAAGTAAATTGGATAAGTTTAGATATGCCAGCTTAACATTATTCAGTAATTCACCAATACAAACAAAATTTTCAGTATGAGTTATTTTGATCCTGTTTATGAATATGAGAGCAGTACACAGGGAAGAATGTACTGATGAATCATTTGTTTCCTCTACTTTTTATTACTGAAACTGGATCTTCACTGCTGTCCTGTGAAGTTGGTTGTTTGTGCATCTAGAACAGAAAGGATGCAAAACCCTGTGCTTTTAAACATTTGTCTTACATATAGCAAAATATTTTAGGTGACAATTGGATGTTCAAATCCCAGTTTGCTTGTTTTTATGTGCATGGAATTTCCAAGTTCTGGTAGGCTATGATATAGTACTGGGACCTTTGGAAAAAATAAATTTGAAATCTAAAGAATCTTTTACTGTAAGATTCTAGGACTTAGGTGCCATTGCAGAGCTACATTCTGATCTTTTCAAAGCCAGCTATGTCCACTCTAGCATTACTGCTTTTACCTCAGATCTGCCTAACCTGAGTCAGCTCTCCCAAACTTTATGTGGAGTGCTAGAGAAATAATATTCTGATGGCAAGTAATTTTATAAGATGAGAAAAAAGGTTCCATTTGCAAATTCTTTCATGGTTTTTCAATCTTTTCTGCTCCATATCATTATAGAGAAATGGACATGGCAAAAGGCCCTGATAAGTAGAAATTAAAATATATAAATATATGTATGGAAAAACATTCATTGAAAGTACTCAACTGTAAAAGCTTTTAATTTAGTTTTCTTTTTCTCTATGCTAGTCACTTGAAATATTTGAGAAGCTTCATGTGACATTTGGTTTTCAGTAAAAAGCTTTCTTTTACAAGAATATTTGTTATGAAGAAAGACTAATGTGAAATTTTTCATCTTCTTCATCCTGAAGATGGTGGCAGGATCCCATTTCACTCCCCTTGTTGTAGCAGAGCAGCAATGGAAGATATTAGGGGATATTTGAAAGTTCAGATCGTTTCCTGAATGATCCTTTGTGTAATTGGTAGAGTATTGCATTCCTGAGTGTTTAGGAAATTGAAATCCAGTTAGAATGCATTAGTTATATTCATCTGTAAGATTTATAGACAACTCTTGAAGTGTATTCAAACAATTAGGAAATTTGGTTTATTCTCACTGTAAACAATATATTGTACAAAATCCTTTTAAATTGTGTATGTGTTGCTTAGATAATTTTGACAGTAATTTTGAATACTGAAGTAGCTTTGAATATATGTTACAAGGTTGCATTAATTAGAACCAATGAGAGAATTTTGCAGATATTGCTTAATTGTCAGAATGTTTCTTCAAGATAATTATTAATAACAACATATCCAAGTACCCACTACTTACAAAAGACAATGTTGCTTTAACTGTTTTGCTAGATGAAGAATCACATACTGAAACATATCTTTCAGCTCTGGCTTGCTGACGATTGCTGGCTACAAGCAAACTTGTATTTTGGTATTCATCAAGACTTCGATTTTGAAGACCACAGGCCCTATTGTTTCAGTGTTATGGTTGGACATGGCAAGAGTCATTGTTTCAATGTAGAGCTGGGCAGCGAGTTGGCAGTTTGGGAGAAATCATTTCAAAGAGCAATTTTCTTGGAAGTTCAAAGAACTGGGGTAAGTAATGAATAATTTAAATCCTGGAGCCATTTTTTTTTTTAGTAAAATAAGTATAAAATATACTTAGATAATATATATGTTCAATAATTACATGGGATTGATAAGCTCCATTAATGAGGATTTGAATATGCATAGAAGGGTTCTGAAAGCTTCATAAGAGCAATATTGATCTGTTCATGCCCATGTAATAACAATCTGTGAGTATATAATGTTTGGAAATTAGAATTTTCAAATGTATGAGTTCACCTTGATTAAAAAAACTGAAAATTAACACATTTTACTACTGAAATACAATTTTTTTGTGGAGGTTCTTTAGACTACTTTAAACATTTTCTTCCATAATGCTTAATTCTACTTGCCTAAATGGAATTTAAAATTTGTTGCTTTACATTATGGGTCTATTTTACAAAATATAAATTGTTTGCTTTTATGACATTAATTGAAAATTAAAGCTGACTTTGTTAACACTGGAAAAATTTGAAGAATCAGAGTAAAAGAGGAAAGTTAGTCACATTAATTCTTAAATTCTTCAAATAACACAGTGGATCATCACTTTTTACTGCCTACTAAAATTCTCTAAACCCAATTACTTTTTAGACCTGAGTGTGTGCTCCTTGTTAGATAGTTTGATGTTTAACATTAATGTAGCTGGTATAGCTGCATAAATGTATGTCTATTAACATGGTGCTGACTACACTTCCATTAGAATCAGCGAGGTTAGATCAGCAAGATAAGAAAGTCACATCATAGAATCACAGAATGGCTTAAGTTGGAAAGGACCTTAAAGAACATCTGATTTCTAACCCCCTGTCATGGGTAGGGTTGCCACCCATTAGATCAGGTGGCTCAGGGCTCCATCCAACCTAGTCTTGAACACTTCCAGGGATAGGGCATCCACAGCTTCTCTGGGCAGCCTTTACCAGTGCCTCACCACCCTCTTAGTAAACAATTTCCACCTAACATGTAGCCAGCCCCAATAGACTTGTACACAATCAGTCTCATGAGGCAGCCTCTAACTTTATCTGCTCTTGAGAGGGATTTTCTTCCTCTGAACCCCACCTAGAGGTTCAGACATGAGAGGTGTGGGAAGCATGATAGCCAATGAAGATTGAGGCAGGGAACTCTGCCTTTTCCTTATCTGTTGAAGCCAGTTCTCCCTTCTCATTTCTCAGAGGGTACAATCTCCTTTGCCTGTCTCTTCTGACCAGTATACCTATAGAATCTCTTGTTATTTTTCACATTCCTCACCAAATGCAGTTCCATCTATACCTTGGCTTTCCAGATCCCATCTCTGCATGTGCAGATGGCATCCATATATTCATCCCAGTCCACATATCTCTGCTTCCTCTGCCTCTTATTTTCTTCTTATCCCTCAATTTAACCAGCAGGTCCTTGCTCAATTATTCTGGTTTTCTGCCTCTTCTGCTTGATTTCTTATGCTGGGGGATGGAGAGCGCTTGTGCTCTCAGAAGGGTTTCCTTAAAGAGCTGGCAATGGTACTCCGTTCCTATGTCCCTAAGTACAGTTTTCCTGTGGATCTCATCCAATAATTCCTTAGATAATAATTCCTTAAGCTGAAAATCCTCCCTCCTCAAGAGTTTTGACTCTATTATTTGCCAGGCCCATGTTCCTTGAGATCATGGCCTCAACCACAACATGGTCACTACAGTCCAGGAATGATTGCACTCACCCTAAAGTGCATAGGTTATTCCAATTAACACATAAGAACACAGTAATACCATTTGATAGAGCAAATTCTCAACTACAAAGCACTGACTTTTTAATATGGTCTCCACAAATAGCTATGCATTTTCACTAGCAGTTATCAAGAACCTGCATGCCACATGTAAAAATCTACACCAACAAAGGTGATTTGTTTCTTCTGGAAGAAACCACGGTTTCTTCCTGCCGTGGTTTAACCTATTTGAAACCTCCATTAGAGGCACTCAATTAAAATCATGATTACAATGCTTAGGTCTCCATGTGTGTGTTCTCAAATTAATTTTCTTCCTCAGTTGTATATATTCATGTTTGCTGAAAACCTTATTGTGAGTAGAATATAAAGTGGTTACTCTCCAGCAATGGAAAATCTTTTTGACTCCATTATTCTTTTTCTTCCTTCAAAACATAAATTCTGCATGTCCTGGTTTTCAGATAGATGTTAAGAGCAGCATGAATGAGCTGCAAATCAACATTACGTAGATTAATCCCAGCCATAGAGAGAGAATTGACATTTCAGTATTCATGAAATTAATTGTTGTAACCTCTAGGTTAGATTGTCCATAAAAATTCTTTCTTTTGGATAAGGACCATAATTGCAGCAAGAAATTCATTTTTATTCATAAATGATTGGGCAAGGTTCATGGTGGCAGTCGAATGTCACTATATCAGTCTAGCCATTCTTATTTAAATGTGGCTTCACGCTGTTAGCTTATTAGGGCCTTTTGGATTTTTTCTTTGGCAATGCTGTTTTTAACTGTACCCTCTATGTGTTCTTTGTTTTTGATACTTTCATACAAATGGTATTTCTGGAAAAGAAATCTTAATGTTCTATGACATATTCAAAGGTATGATATTTTAAACATTTTTTTTAATAGCTGTTTTAAATGATAGGTAGAATGCAATAAAGTAGGAAGAAATTCCCCTCACAACATCACTGCCTCTTCAGCTGTCTTAAAGTCATATTTCAAGCTGCAAATACTTACAAACAGGAACCTACCACAGAACTGTGAAATTAAGTGATCATAAATAAATTAATGTATTTGCAAATGGTGCTAGCAGGTGAAGTTCTTTTAAGTCCTTGTGTAGAGATATCTGTATTTTCTTCCTAGAAAAAATATTGTAATTGATAGTATAACTTGGACTGATAGGGGCATTAGAAATGCAGCAGAAGTAGGGAAATAGGAAGTTGGAAGGCAGAAAAAGCACTGTTAAGAAATATTTTCCCAAGGTTGGTGAAAATAATCATCTTTGCAGCGGATAAAGGTAGATTGTGACATTTTCTCAATCACAACTAGAAATTCAGTCATCACTCACAAATTCCAGCAAACAAGCCTCCAAGCTGACATCCTGTTCTCCTATGAAGAAAGGTTGAGGGAACTGGGCTTGTTTAGCTTGGAGAAGAGCAGGTTCCAGGGAAACCTCACTGTGGTTTTCCAGTACTTGAAGGGAGCATATAAACAGGAGGGGGAACAGCTGTTTACAAGGGTGGGTAGTGATAGGACAAGGGGGAATGGTTTTAAACTGAGACAGGGGAGGTTTAGGTTGGAAATTAGAAGGAAGTTTTTCACACAGAGGGTGGTGACACACTGGAACAGGTTGCCCAAGGAGGTTGTGGATGCCCCATCCCTGGAGGCATTCAAGGCCAGGCTGGATGTGGCTCTGAGTAGCCTGGTCTGGTGGTTGGTGATCCTGCACAAAGGAGGCGATTGAATCTAGATGATCATTGTGATCGTTTTCAACCCAGGCCATTCTATGATTCTATGATCCTCAACAGTGGAGAGCTCTATCAGATGAAATCATTTTTCTTTTATCTTTTTTTTTTTTTTTTTTTTGTAGTCTTCAAAAATAAAATTCTATCACTTTTACTAGATTTCTTACTAATTCTTTGACATGTCAGGATAGGCATGCATTAGTTGAGGACAGGAGTATGAGTGTATCCCCACACATAAGGGATGATAGGGGTAACATTCATGTTTCTGGAATGATACAGATCCCTCCTGTCAGAGAAATGCATTAAAATAACATGACAATAAACATTTTTCTTGTAAATGATTTAATATTTCACATAAATCCATGCAATGTGAATAGTGTTTGGAAATCCAAGAACAGTATAATAGTATAACAAGCATAAATGTATGGCAGGTTTTCACTCTTAGTAGTTGAGCTAACATGTATCTATTTCTCTGGATATTTCATCCTTTTTTTTTTTTTTTTTTTTTTTTTTTTTTTTGTATGCTTTTTCTTCAAATGAGATTCTTAATGTTGAAATGTAAAATTAGGTTCCTTGTGACTCAAAAATGGTTGCTGATTATGTTTTTTCCTGGATAAATGCAAGAATGATTATTGGGAATAATTGTGCACACACAAACCCAGAGTTTTACTTCCGTAAGAGTCCTAAATGAAGCTTTCAATTTTCTTTAAAAATATTGTAGTACTAAAACTCCATGAGTAAAATTCTTTTAAAAAGTAGCAACGCTTAAAAGAATTATTTTTCTATTCTGTATGCAACAATGAGTTCCATTTCAATATTGGTCTGTTATGTCAATCTCTATTTTTATCTGTGGTTATGAGCAGTGTTCCACAGTTATGAAAGATGACAGGCATGAAAGTGGCATGTATTACAGTATCATTAGTTCACAAGCTTCCTACTTCCATGCTTTAACATTTTCTTCCATTTACTGTATATTTGTAAGGATCTAATCTACAACTGATCTATTGATGGTTAAAGCAAAAAAAAAAAAAAAAAAAATATCCTCTAATTATTTTGAAGAAATTGTTTACACAATATACTTTCCTCAGCTGCTTCTCTTTTTGCTTAATGGACTGCTTCTGTTCATGTGTCTGGTTGTGGATACTTTTTAATATGCTCTCTTCTATTCATCTTTTGAAGTTTCTTTGTATTACTTTGTCATTGATTTTATTAGTTCATTGGTTTTAAGTCATTTCTAACCTAAGTTGCCTTCCATGAAACTAAAAGTGTTTGTTGTATAAATGAGGAATTAATATGTGCAGTTCTCTAATTCCTACCAACTACTTGCTGTTTGTTTTGTACTATTACATAATTTTACCTATTTGTGTTAAAAAAGCTTTGAGAGGATTCACAAGAACAAGTTTTGTTGTGTCGACCACATCCCTCATTTTGGTGCCATCAGCAAACTTGCTGAGGGTATGCTCAATCCCACTGTCTGTGTCATCGATAAAGATGTTAATGTTTATATTCAGAATAATATCCATCAGAATAATAACATTTGGATGAGATTCTAGTAATTATACTG